CCCACATCACACTCATATCACTCGCACACCCACATCACACTCATATCACTCGCACACCCACATCACACTCATATCACTCGCACACCCACATCACACTCATATCACTCGCACACCCACATCACACTCATATCACTCGCACACCCACATCACACTCATATCACTCGCACACCCACATCACACTCATATCACTCGCACACCCACATCACACTCATATCACTCGCACACCCACATCACACTCATATCACTCGCACACCCACATCACACTCATATCACTCGCACACCCTCATCACACTCATATCACTCGCACACCCACATCACACTCATATCACTCGCACTCCCACATCACACTCATATCACTCGCACACCCACATCACACTCATATCACTCGCACACCCACATCACACTCATATCACTCGCACTCCCACATCACACTCATATCACTCGCACACCCACATCACACTCATATCACTCGCACACCCACATCACACTCATATCACTCGCACACCCACATCACACTCATATCACTCGCACACCCACATCACACTCATATCACTCGCACACCCACATCACACTCATATCACTCGCACTCCCACATCACACTCATATCACTCGCACTCCCACATCACACTCATATCACTCGCACTCCCACATCACACTCATATCACTCGCACTCCCACATCACACTCATATCACTCGCACTCCCACATCACACTCATATCACTCGCACACCCACATCACACTCATATCACTCGCACACCCACATCACACTCATATCACTCGCACACCCACATCACACTCATATCACTCGCACACCCACATCACACTCATATCACTCGCACTCCCACATCACACTCATATCACTCGCACTCCCACATCACACTCATATCACTCGCACTCCCACATCACACTCATATCACTCGCACACCCACATCACACTCATATCACTCGCACACCCACATCACACTCATATCACTCGCACACCCACATCACACTCATATCACTCGCACACCCACATCACACTCATATCACTCGCACACCCACATCACACTCATCACTCGCACTCCCACATCACACTCATATCACTCGCACACCCACATCACACTCATATCACTCGCACACCCACATCACACTCATATCACTCGCACTCCCACATCACACTCATATCACTCGCACACCCACATCACACTCATATCACTCGCACACCCACATCACACTCATATCACTCGCACACCCACATCACACTCATATCACTCGCACACCCACATCACACTCATATCACTCGCACTCCCACATCACACTCATATCACTCGCACACCCACATCACACTCATATCACTCGCACACCCACATCACACTCATATCACTCGCACACCCACATCACACTCATATCACTCGCACACCCACATCACACTCATATCACTCGCACACCCACATCACACTCATATCACTCGCACACCCACATCACACTCATATCACTCGCACTCCCACATCACACTCATATCACTCGCACACCCACATCACACTCATATCACTCGCACTCCCACATCACACTCATATCACTCGCACTCCCACATCACACTCATATCACTCGCACTCCCACATCACACTCATATCACTCGCACTCCCACGTCACACTCATATCACTCGCACTCCCACATCACACTCATATCACTCGCACTCCCACATCACACTCATATCACTCGCACACCCACATCACACTCATATCACTCGCACACCCACATCACACTCATATCACTCGCACACCCACATCACACTCATATCACTCGCACACCCACATCACACTCATATCACTCGCACTCCCACATCACACTCATATCACTCGCACACCCACATCACACTCATATCACTCGCACACCCACATCACACTCATATCACTCGCACACCCACATCACACTCATATCACTCGCACACCCACATCACACTCATATCACTCGCACACCCATATCACACTCATATCACTCGCACACCCACATCACACTCATATCACTCGCACACCCACATCACACTCATATCACTCGCACACCCACATCACACTCATATCACTCGCACACCCACATCACACTCATATCACTCGCACACCCACATCACACTCATATCACTCGCACACCCACATCACACTCATATCACTTGCACACCCACATCACACTCATATCACTCGCACACCCACATCACACTCATATCACTCGCACACCCACATCACACTCATATCACTCGCACACCCACATCACACTCATATCACTCGCACACCCACATCACACTCATATCACTCGCACACCCACATCACACTCATATCACTCGCACACCCACATCACACTCATATCACTCGCACACCCACATCACACTCATATCACTCGCACTCCCACATCACACTCATATCACTCGCACACCCACATCACACTCATATCACTCGCACACCCACATCACACTCATATCACTCGCACACCCACATCACACTCATATCACTCGCACACCCACATCACACTCATATCACTCGCACACCCACATCACACTCATATCACTCGCACTCCCACATCACACTCATATCACTCGCACTCCCACATCACACTCATATCACTCGCACTCCCACGTCACACTCATATCACTCGCACTCCCACATCACACTCATATCACTCGCACTCCCACATCACACTCATATGACTCGCACACCCACATCACACTCATATCACTCGCACACCCACATCACACTCATATCACTCGCACACCCACATCACACTCATATCACTCGCACACCCACATCACACTCATATCACTCGCACTCCCACATCACACTCATATCACTCGCACACCCACATCACACTCATATCACTCGCACACCCACATCACACTCATATCACTCGCACACCCACATCACACTCATATCACTCGCACACCCACATCACACTCATATCACTCGCACACCCACATCACACTCATATCACTCGCACTCCCACATCACACTCATATCACTCGCACACCCACATCACACTCATATCACTCGCACACCCACATCACACTCATATCACTCGCACTCCCACATCACACTCATATCACTCGCACACCCACATCACACTCATATCACTCGCACACCCACATCACACTCATATCACTCGCACACCCACATCACACTCATATCACTCGCACACCCACATCACACTCATATCACTCGCACACCCACATCACACTCATATCACTCGCACACCCATATCACACTCATATCACTCGCACACCCACATCACACTCATATCACTCGCACACCCACATCACACTCATATCACTCGCACACCCACATCACACTCATATCACTCGCACACCCACATCACACTCATATCACTCGCACACCCACATCACACTCATATCACTCGCACACCCACATCACACTCATCACTCGCACACCCACATCACACTCATATCACTCGCACACCCACATCACACTCATATCACTCGCACACCCACATCACACTCATATCACTCGCACACCCACATCACACTCATATCACTCGCACACCCACATCACACTCATATCACTCGCACACCCACATCACACTCATATCACTCGCACACCCACATCACACTCATATCACTCGCACACCCACATCACACTCATCACTCGCACACCCACATCACACTCATATCACTCGCACACCCACATCACACTCATATCACTCGCACACCCACATCACACTCATATCACTCGCACACCCACATCACACTCATATCACTCGCACACCCACATCACACTCATATCACTCGCACACCCACATCACACTCATATCACTCGCACACCCACATCACACTCATATCACTCGCACTCCCACATCACACTCATATCACTCGCACTCCCACATCACACTCATATCACTCGCACACCCACATCACACTCATATCACTCGCACACCCACATCACACTCATATCACTCGCACACCCACATCACACTCATATCACTCGCACACCCACATCACACTCATATCACTCGCACACCCACATCACACTCATATCACTCGCACACCCACATCACACTCATATCACTCGCACACCCACATCACACTCATATCACTCGCACACCCATATCACACTCATATCACTCGCACACCCACATCACACTCATATCACTCGCACACCCACATCACACTCATATCACTCGCACACCCACATCACACTCATATCACTCGCACTCCCACATCACACTCATATCACTCGCACTCCCACATCACACTCATATCACTCGCACACCCACATCACACTCATATCACTCGCACACCCACATCACACTCATATCACTCGCACTCCCACATCACACTCATATCACTCGCACACCCACATCACACTCATATCACTCGCACACCCACATCACACTCATATCACTCGCACTCCCACATCACACTCATATCACTCGCACACCCACATCACACTCATATCACTCGCACACCCACATCACACTCATATCACTCGCACTCCCACATCACACTCATATCACTCGCACACCCACATCACACTCATATCACTCGCACACCCACATCACACTCATATCACACGCACACCCACATCACACTCATATCACTCGCACACCCACATCACACTCATATCACTCGCACACCCACATCACACTCATATCACTCGCACTCCCACATCACACTCATATCACTCGCACACCCACATCACACTCATATCACTCGCACTCCAGCACTCAAGTAAGACAAGTATCTATCGGCCCATCCACTCACCGGGCTGTGTGCCGCGTTGAATGCCCATGACTCCATTCGTCATGGCCCGCTCATAGTAATCCATGAAACGCACTGAGCGAGTCCATCGGAAGGAGTTGCGGGCCATCTGCATGTGTGGGGGGAGAAAGAGAGCGGAGAGAGCAGGCGTGCGTACATGAGGTGAGAGCAAGTGGCAGGCAGTGTGGTGGAGAGCACACAGGGCTGGGCTCATTGACAGTATTTTTTAGTCGACTAAAAAATAGACTCATCACACTGGGCTCATTGACGGCTCGCTCGTAGTAGTCCAGGAGATTTCACCAAGCGAGTCCATCGGAAGGCATTGCAGGCCACCTGCATGTGTGGGGGGGGGGAGGGAAAGGAGGGCAGGCGTGGAAGCGAGTGGCTGGCAGGCAGTGTGGTGGATGGAGAGCACATAGGGATACTTGATAGCTACTTGACAGACGGCTCGCTCGTAGTAGTCGATGAAGCGCACCGAATGCACCCAGCGGAACACATTGCACACCACCTGCGTTGACCTGGGTTGACCTGGGTTGACCTGCGTTGACCTGCGTTGACCTGGGTTGACCTGCGTTGACCTGGGTTGACCTGCGTTGACCTGGGTTGACCTGCGTTGACTCGCCTTGAGCATGTTGTATATGGGGCGCGGCTCCTGGTCCTCCTGATCCAGTTCTTATGGCATGACCAACCCGGTGACCCGCATTGATCCACGTTGACCTGCGTTGACCTGCATTCACCAGCATTGACCTCCATTGACCTGCATTGACCTGCGTTGACCCACATTGACCTGGGCTGACGTGGCAAATGACTCGCCTTAAGCATGTTGTAAGTGGTGCAAGATTCTTGATCCTCCTGTGCCAGTATGTGCCCACTCCGATGCGGTTCTTGCCTGCACTAGGAAACAAGTGAACAAAGAATGCCACTCCATCAACTCAAGCTACAGGGAAAAAAAACACACTTGGAACATCACTCATCACAGCTTCCCGGATTATACCCTCGCTGCCTCACAGACCCCAGCTGCCCAGCAGATTGCAGCAGCAGGCACACACCACTGGAACCCAGCACACCCCACCAGACCACACCAGATCCTACCTGACCACTGGAAAACAGCAGACTGCAGCAGACGGCACTCGCTCACCCCACCAGAACTCAAAGGCGGAGGTGCCTCCAGAGGTGAAGGAGTGAGAAGCGTTGACAATACAGTAATTCGAGACATCTCAAACCTTCATTATTATGTCATGTCACCACAGCAGACCTTAACAGACGGCAGCACTCACCAGAACTCGAAGGCGGAGGTGCCTCCAGAGGTGAAGGAGTGAGAGGGAAGAGTGAGGAAGTGGTGAAAGAGCTTCCAAGCCCCAGCAAACCACACCAGATGGAAGTGGACCACTGAAAAACGAAATGACCCCAGCAGATGGCACTCAACAGAACTGAAAGGCGGAGGTGCCTCCAGAGGTGAAGGAGTGCGAGGTGTTGACGAGAGTAAGGGAGTGGTGGGAGAGGTCACCAGGCCCCAGCAGATGTGACTCATTACACCACATCAAACCATACCGGATCTCACCAGACCGCGCCAGACCCCAGCAAACGGCACTGACCAGAACTCAAAGGCGGAGGTGCCTCCAGAGGTGAAGGAGTGTGAGGTGTTGACAAGGGCGAGAAAATGGTGCGAGAGGTGCTGGTGGGAGGGGAGAGAGGGATATAGGGAGGGATGGGGGACGGAAGGAACCTCATCATGCCACAGTGCGCTCGTTCTGGTTCCAATGGTTGATTCTGTCATGGCGCATCCACTCATGGCGCATCCACTCATGGCGCATCCACTCATGGCGCATCCACTCATGGCGCATCCACTCATGGCGCATCCACTCATGGCGCATCCACTCATGGCGCATCCACTCATGGCGCATCCACTCATGGCGCATCCACTCATGGCGCATCCACTCATGGCGCATCCACTCATGGCGCATCCACTCATGGCGCATCCACTCATGGCGCATCCACTCATGGCGCATCCACTCATGGCGCATCCACTCATGGCGCATCCACTCATGGCGCATCCACTCATGGCGCATCCACTCATGGCGCATCCACTCATGGCGCATCCACTCATGGCGCATCCACTCATGGCGCATCCACTCATGGCGCATCCACTCATGGCGCATCCACTCATGGCGCATCCACTCATGGCGCATCCACTCATCCACTCATGGCCGCATCACTCATGGCGATCCACTCATGGCGCATCCACTCATGGCGCCATCCACTCATGGCGCATCCACTCATGGCGCATCCACTCATGGCGCATCCACTCATGGCGCATCCACTCATGGCGGCATCCACTCATGGCGCATCCACTCATGGCGCATCCACTCATGGCGCATCCACTCATGGCGCATCCACTCATGGCGGCATCCACTCATGGCGCATCCACTCATGGCGCATCCACTCATGGCGCATCCACTCATGGCGCATCCACTCATGGCGCATCCACTCATGGCGCATCCACTCATGGCGCATCCACTCATGGCGCATCCACTCATGGCGCATCCACTCATGGCGCATCCACTCATGGCGCATTCCACTCATGGCGCATCCACTCATTGGCGCATCCACCATGGGCGGCATCCACTCCATTGTCGCATCCACTCATGGCGCCATCCACTCATGGCGCATCCACTCATGGCGCATCCACTCATGGCGCATCCACTCATGGCGCATCCACTCATGGCGCAATCCACTCATGGCCGCATTTCCACTCATGGCGCATCCACTCATGGCGCATCCACTCATGGCGCATCCCACTCATGGCGCATCCCACTCATGGCGCATCCACTCATGGCGCATCCACTCATGGGCCCTCCCAATCATGGCCATCCACTGTCATGGCGCATTCCACTCATGGCGCATCCACGCATGGCGCAATCCACTCATGGCGCATCCACTCATGGCGCATCCACGTCATGGCGGCCATCCACTCATGGCGCATCCACTCATGCGGCATCCACTTCACTGGCGCATCCACTCCATGGCGCATACACTCATGCGCATCCACTCATGGCGATCCACTCAGGCGCATCCACTCATGGCGCATCCACTCATGGCGCATCCACATCATGGCGCATCCACTCATGGCGCATTCCACTCATGGCGCATCCACTCATTGGCGCATCCACTCATGGCGCATCCACTCATGGGCATCCACTCATGGGCATCCACTTCATGGCGCCATCCACTCATGGCGGCATCACCACTCATGGCGGCATCCACTCATGGCGCATCCACTCATGGCGCATCCACTCATGGCGCATCCACTCATGGCGCATACCACTCATGGCGCATCCACTCATGGCGCATCCACTCATGGCGCATCCACTCATGGCGCATCCACTCATGGCGCATCCACTCATGGCGCATCCACTCATGGCGCATCCACTCATGGCGCATCCACTCATGGCGCATCCACTCATGGCGCATCCACTCATGGCGCATCCACTCATGGCGCATCCACTCATGGCGCATCCACTCATGGCGCATCCACTCATGGCGCATCCACTCATGGCGCATCCACTCATGGCGCATCCACTCATGGCGCATCCACTCATGGCGCATCCACTCATGGCGCATCCACTCATGGCGCATCCACTCATGGCGCATCCACTCATGGCGCATCCACTCATGGCGCATCCACTCATGGCGCATCCACTCATGGCGCATCCACTCATGGCGCATCCACTCATGGCGCATCCACTCATGGCGCATCCACTCATGGCGCATCCACTCATGGCGCATCCACTCATGGCGCATCCACTCATGGCGCATCCACTCATGGCGCATCCACTCATGGCGCATCCACTCATGGCGCATCCACTCATGGCGCATCCACTCATGGCGCATCCCTCATGGCGCATCCACTCATGGCGCATCCACTCATGGCGCATCCACTCATGGCGCATCCACTCATGGCGCATCCACTCATGGCGCATCCACTCATGGCGCATCCACTCATGGCGCATCCACTCATGGCGCATCCACTCATGGCGCATCCACTCATGGCGCATCCACTCATGGCGCATCCACTCATGGCGCATCCACTCATGGCGCATCCACTCATGGCGCATCCACTCATGGCGCATCCACTCATGGCGCATCCACTCATGGCGCATCCACTCATGGCGCATCCACTCATGGCGCATCCACTCATGGCGCATCCACTCATGGCGCATCCACTCATGGCGCATCCACTCATGGCGCATCCACTCATGGCGCATCCACTCATGGCGCATCCACTCATGGCGCATCCACTCATGGCGCATCCACTCATGGCGCATCCACTCATGGCGCATCCACTCATGGCGCATCCACTCATGGCGCATCCACTCATGGCGCATTCCACTCATGGCGCATCCACTCATGGCGCATCCACTCATGGCGCATCCACTCATGGCGCATCCACTCATGGCGCATCCACTCATGGCGCATCCACTCATGGCGCATCCCACTCATGGCGCATCCACTCATGGCGCATCCACTCATGGCGCATCCACTCATGGCGCATCCACTCATGGCGCATCCACTCATGGCGCATCCACTCATGGCGCATCCACTCATGGCGCATCCACTCATGGCGCATCCACTCATGGCGCATCCACTCATGGCGCATCCACTCATGGCGCATCCACTCATGGCGCACCAATCATGCCATCCCTCATGGCGCATCCACTCATGGCGCATCCACTCATGGCGCATCCACCCTCATGGCGCATCCACTCATGGCGCATCCACTCATTGGCGCATCCACTCATGGCGCATCCACTCATGCGCATCCACTCATGGCGCATCCACTCATGGCGCATCCACTCATGGCGCATCCACTCATGGCGCATCCACTCATGGCGCATCCACTCATGGCGCATCCACTCATGGCGCATCCACTCATGGCGCATCCACTCATGGCGCATCCACTCATGGCGCATCCACTCATGGCGCATCCACTCATGGCGCATCCACTCATGGCGCATCCACTCATGGCGCATCCACTCATGGCGCATCCACTCATGGCGCATCCACTCATGGCGCATCCACTCATGGCGCATCCACTCATGGCGCATCCACTCATGGCGCATCCACTCATGGCGCATCCACTCATGGCGCATCCACTCATGGCGCATCCACTCATGGCGCATCCACTCATGGCGCATCCACTCATGGCGCATCCACTCATGGCGCATCCACTCATGGCGCATCCACTCATGGCGCATCCACTCATGGCGCATCCACTCATGGCGCATCCACTCATGGCGCATCCACTCATGGCGCATCCACTCATGGCGCATCCACTCATGGCGCATCCACTCATGGCGCATCCACTCATGGCGCATCCACTCATGGCGCATCCACTCATGGCGCATCCACTCATGGCGCATCCACTCATGGCGCATCCACTCATGGCGCATCCACTCATGGCGCATCCACTCATGGCGCATCCACTCATGGCGCATCCACTCATGGCGCATCCACTCATGGCGCATCCACTCATGGCGCATCCACTCATGGCGCATCCACTCATGGCGCATCCACTCATGGCGCATCCACTCATGGCGCATCCACTCATGGCGCATCCACTCATGGCGCATCCACTCATGGCGCATCCACTCATGGCGCATCCACTCATGGCGCATCCACTCATGGCGCATCCACTCATGGCGCATCCACTCATGGCGCATCCACTCATGGCGCATCCACTCATGGCGCATCCACTCATGGCGCATCCACTCATGGCGCATCCACTCATGGCGCATCCACTCATGGCGCATCCACTCATGGCGCATCCACTCATGGCGCATCCACTCATGGCGCATCCACTCATGGCGCATCCACTCATGGCGCATCCACTCATGGCGCATCCACTCATGGCGCATCCACTCATGGCGCATCCACTCATGGCGCATCCACTCATGGCGCATCCACTCATGGCGCATCCACTCATGGCGCATCCACTCATGGCGCATCCACTCATGGCGCATCCACTCATGGCGCATCCACTCATTGGCGCATCCACTCATGGCGCATCCACTCATGGCGCATCCACTCATGGCGCATCCACTCATGGCGCATCCACTCATGGCGCATCCACTCATGGCGCATCCACTCATGGCGCATCCACTCATGGCGCATCCAAATCATGGCGCATCCACTCATGGCGCATCCACTCATGGCGCATCCACTCATGGCGCATCCACTCATGGCGCATCCACTCATGGCGCATCCACTCATGGCGCATCACTCATGGCGCATCCACTCATGGCGCATCCACTCATGGCGCATCCACTCATGGCGCATCCACTCATGGCGCATCCACTCATGGCGCATCCACTCATGGCGCATCCACTCATGGCGCATCCACTCATGGCGCATCCACTCATGGCGCATCCACTCATGGCGCATCCACTCATGGCGCATCCACTCATGGCGCATCCACTCATGGCGCATCCACTCATGGCGCATCCACTCATGGCGCATCCACTCATGGCGCATCCACTCATGGCGCATCCACTCATGGCGCATCCACTCATGGCGCATCCACTCATGGCGCATCCACTCATGGCGCATCCACTCATGGCGCATCCACTCATGGCGCATCCACTCATGGCGCATCCACTCATGGCGCATCCACTTCAT